TCTCAATAGTAAAAATATTTAGTGACGATATCGGTATGGAATTTGGACTTGACAAGTGTGCCAAGATTACTATGAAAAGAGGAAAAGTTGAGAGAAGTGAAAACATCAAATTGAACGACGCCACGGAAATAAAAAACCTAGACAACGGTGAAACCTACAAGTATTTGGGAGTGGAGGAATGCGGGAGCATTGAGCACCAAGAGATGAAGAATCGACTGACAAGAGAGTACTATCGGCGTATAAGGCTTGTCCTCAAAACGGAGCTAAGTTCAAAAAACAAGATAATGGCTATTAATTCAATCGCTGTCCCTGTGCTGACGTATAGTTTCGGTATTTTGGATTGGTTGAGAACCGATATACACAAGCTAGATAGGAAAACAAGAAAACTACTAACTTGTGAAGGTATGCATCATCCCAAAGCCGACGTTCAGCGTCTATACATCGCACGGCGTGATGGCGGACGAGGTTTAATAGAGTTAGAATATGCATATGATCTAGCCATTCTCGACCTGCATGAATACCTGAGCTCGGAGAAAGACAAATATACGAAAATGTTAAAAATCCACGATGCCCAGAAACATAAATACTCTCTTGAGAGAGAAGCAGCGAGTATAAAATCAAACTACCAAAGTGACAACTCTAGGACGTCGAACACAAAGGTCCAAATCAAGGTCAGCATTGCTAAGCGCAGAATGGAAATGTTGAAAAATAAACCATTACACGGCCAGTTCTACAGAAACCTTAGTAGACCAGGCGTAGACAAAGACGCTAGCGTTGCATGGTTCCGTAGTTCTGGTCTGAAGGGCGGAACAGAAAGCCTCTTGATTGCTGCTCAGGACCAAGCCCTCAACACACGCTATCACCAAAAGCGCATACTTGGTTGCGAAGTGGACAGTAAGTGCAGGATGTGCAATCAAGCAGAGGAGCACATAAGCCACATCGTGGCTGGATGTACCACACTCGCACCTACTGAATACACAAAAAGGCACAACAACGTAGCAAGGTATCTACACTGGCTAATGAGCAAAGGGGCTGGTATAGAGGTCTGCGATAAATATTATGAGCACACTCCAGAAAATAATAAAGTTGTAAACAATGAGGATGTTCGAATCATGTGGGATGTTCCCATCATCACTGATAGAACCATACCTGCGAACCGCCCGGACATAGCGTATCTTGATAAAAGAACAAAAACCTGCTTACTAGTAGATGTAGCGGTTCCTAACGATTCGAACGTAATGCTGAAGGAAGCAGAAAAGTTAAGCAAGTATAAAGACCTGGAAATAGAGGTAAGCAGAATGTGGAACGTTAAGACCCGAACAGTTCCAGTCATTGTAGGAGCCCTAGGGACCCTTAGAAAGGGGTTACAGACCAACCTCTCACAACTACCAGGAAAACCATCTGTTGCTGAAGTGCAGAAAATAGCACTACTGGGCACTGCTCACATTATCCGCAAGGTATTAGGGTGAATCGCTTTGATCTCGGGTAGAGATCTGGATTCGCTTAAGACTGTCACAATAGGACAAGAGGAAAACACTAAAATAATAATAATAATAATAAATCGTCTTTATTTAGGGGGCGAAGTTTAGCATAACGCCACTCTGCCACTTAACCCCCCCCCCCCCCAAAAAAAGAGAAACTGAAAAAACAATACAAAAAATATAAATACTTCGGATAAGTTAGAAGATTAGAAATGTAGGTGTATAAAAAATATGGTATATAACATATATAAGTGAAGGCTATTCAATATTTCATGATTTAAATGTATAAAATTGCAACAGTCATACAAACAAAGGAATGCTAGGATATTGGAAATATTTTTGTGTGCGGTGACAGATAAATTTTATCTACTAATTTATATACTTCTATTCAAAATGTCTTCATATGTCTTTGAAATTCATCATATGATAACAATTTTGTGGATCGAGGTAGAGCATTGTAAAAAATAATTGCGTTGTAGGTGAAGCATTTCCGAAAGAATGATGTCCTGTGGAGGGGCATCGTGAGTGTTTCAGTGAATCGAATGTCCCTAGAATGGATATTGCTTCTAGATATCAGCTTATTTCTCAAAAATGGCGGAATAGATGACAGTAAAAGCCTGTGGGTGTAAGTATCTAGGTGTAGCTCACACAGTTCATTTACTCTCAACCACTTCATGTCATTGAAAAAAGGGCTGATATGATCATATTTTTTCAAATTATTGATCAACCTACAACATGAGTTTTGGATTTTTTGGAGACGTGCTAGAGATTTTGAGTCAAGAAATGGGAGATAAACTAAATCGCAATAACTAATTTTGGACATTACCAAACATTCACACAAATTTTTTTTAGTTGTAAAGTCAAGAAATTGTTAATTAAGATATAATTGCCGTAAAATTGAAAAACAACTCTTACTGATATTATTTACATGTGGTATAAAATTTAGACATTCATCTAAAGTTACACCCAAGTTTTTCACTGACTCACTTCTATAGTCTCACCATTTAATTTTACTTTAAAATTTCTTTTGGCATCACTTCTAAATAGTTTTGGTGAAAAAGTGATGACTTTCGATTTTAAAGGGTTCAACTGAAGGTTATGATTTTTTACATACATACTAATAGATGTTATATCTTCATTTACGTCAGATTCAGTATTTTGAATGTCGCGATTATGGAAATGACTGTAGATCTGTGAATCGTCGGCAAAGAATTGAATATTACAATATTTAACAACTGAATGGAGATCAGAAATATACAAAATGAATAGGAGTGGCCCAAGTACAGACCCTTGAGGCACTCTGCAGGAAATGAGGCACTTTGAAGATAGAACCATGTCAATGTGTACCCTTTGATATCGATTTCCTAAGAAGCTCTGAATAGTTTTTGAGGCAGAGTCAGAAAAACCAAAATATTTACACTTGGCTACTAGAAGATGATGCTTTATGGTATCGAGTGCCTTAGAGAAGTCAAGAAGAACTAATGATGTGATCATATTTTGATCCCAGGCTCTAAAAATGTTATCGGTTAAGTCTAATAGGGCACCTGCAGTGTTATATCCTTTTCGATAACCGCATTGTTTGGGAGGCAAAATTTCATGTTTAGAGAGATAATCGTAAATTTGGGCGTACATTGCTTTTTCTAATAATTTGGACAGAACATGTAAAATACTAATTGGTCTTAAATCAGAATATAATTCTGGCTTACTTATCTTAGCTAGAGGTAACACTAATGCTTCTTTCCATGGTTCTGGACAGAATCCCCTTTCTAAACAGGTATTTATGATGTGTAAAAGGTGACCTGAAATCGGAAAGAAGCATAGTTTTAATATTTTGAGTGACACGCCATCCCTTCCTACGGCATTCGATTTCAGAGACTGAAACATCGATTTTAAATCAGTCATATCGATTGGTTTAAACTTGAATCGATCACTAGAATAGTGATTCTTTTCATAATACTCAATCTTCTCTGTGCATGAACAATTGGCGTTATTAAAAATGGAACAGAAATAATTATTAATATCAGTAGGGTTCTTTAAATGTAGAGGAATATCGATATTTTGTGACTGTTGGATACGCATTGATTTTACGGATCTATAAAATATTTTTGAATCATTTTGTTGACGGAGGGATAATAAATATGCTGCTTTTTCATATCTAATTTGACTTAAAGTTGAATTTCTGAGCTCTTTGTAGCGATTCCAGGAATCTTCTGTCTTATTAATTTTAAACTGATTTGAAGCTCTGTCTCTGTCTTTCATCATACGTTTAAGCTGTTATGATAGCCAGGCTGCATGCGGTTTATTTACACGTACAATTCTTAGAGGTGCATGCTTATCAAAAATTAATTTTAGTCCATCTGTCAAATATGAAATTTTGTGATCACTACTCGCTACGGAATATATAATGCTCCAGGGAAAGTTTAATATATCATTTTGAGATGATAAAATATCAAAATTTTTAAAGTCTCTGAATTTAACGAATTTTTGCTTGCTTGCTTGCAACTACAACATAATCAAAGTTGGGTACTAGAAAAGAGAGAGCATTATCAAAAAAAATCAATGGCTTCATCAACATTGTTATGGGGAGGTCAGTAAATTACCCCAAAGGCGAGAGTTTGACCACATAATTTCAATTTAATCCACATATTCTCAACACTAGGAAAGTAGCCAACATGGTTCTCAATCTGTAATTCTTCACAGAGCAAACCATTTCTCACGTAAATGCCCACGCCTCCACCGCGACTCTCCCTATCTTTTCGATAGAATGTATATCCTTCAATATACAAAAGACTATCTAAGATGTTTTTATTGAGCCATGTTTCGGATAGAGCTAAAATATCATAATCAGAATTTCCCAACATGTAGGCAAAACCAGATAGAGAAGGTACTAGAGACCGAATATTTAAGTGACCAAATTTAAAAGGTTTGTTTTCTGTCACATTTAGAATTGAATTTTGTATATAAGATCCACTTCTCAAAATAAAACTCGTGATATGTGTTGTTGTTAGAAGGATTTGAAAGTAGGGCATTTTTTATCAGTTGGATCATGATTTGTATCATATTGTTTGTTGTACTTGTGGTTGGCAGACACACAGTTACAACATTTGGTGGTTGATTGATTGCAGGAGGAAATGTCATGGTTTTCTCCACATTTTGAACATACTTTACAATTTTGACATTTTTTCGTTAAATGATTAAACCTTAAGCAATTTTTACATTGTGATACTATATTGTTGTCATAAACGATATTTTCAAATGGTAATAAAATTTTTCCACTGTTGTTATCAAAAATATAATAATAATTTCTTTTAATAATTTCTGCAGTTTTTGACCTTGTCGATACATATCTGAAGTTTCGAGAGGTCTAAGTTTTTGTTGTGATCATATCTGGTCTTGTAGTTTGGTTGGTGTTGATCAGGTGTAATGATTATGCTTTTCCAAGATCTTGTCTCTTTGTTTGGTGATGCTTTGCTTGCAGTTATCTGAGAATATGAGACATTCTTAGTTGCGGTTGATTTTTCACATTCGTGTATTTAGTCTTTCCAGTGTACTGATAACAGTGTCCTTTTCTACGACCTTGGTGGCTAATAGATTGTAGTGCTCTTGGAACCTAGGATTTTCATTGGACAGTTGATGAACTAGCCTATCTTTTTCAGCTAGTAATTCACTCAGTAGTTCAATTTTCTCATTAAGTGACTTAATTTCTTCTTTAACTGCTGCTTCCGTATTGTTGTCATTATTTATTATCGTCCGAATTTCTTGATTTCGTGCTGTTCCGTCTTCTTCATTTTTCCTTTTCTTCTTGCTCATTTTCGACTTTCAGTCTAGAGTAACACTTGGTACAGCACTTTTAGCTGATTTCTGACTTCTCTGTCTTTAACTTCTCGTGAATTTGATTGTCAAAAATTGTATGTCAGATTCTGAAGATCAAAAATGGCCGAAACTGATATGTAAGCGAGCAGATACCTCACCAATGTTCCCAGAGGTATATTTCTTCCTTATGATGTACACTTTCTCAACAGATCAATTTTACATGCCGTAGGACTGGTGATAATTATCAAAATACGGTAGGCTTTACTAATAAGTTTGTAGCAAACTATACTGTTTATAAATATATAAATATAAATATCCTACTCGAATTGGAAAAGTCTGCCCACATTCTTCTGTTTGTGTTCGATGAGAACGAAAAAAGGTTCAATATCTGTTTGTTGGTAATTGCTGTTATTTTTATTATTACTACTTAGGTTTTTGCCATTAGGCGGCATCTCGCCGACCGAAGTAGTGCTCTTGTTCAGTAATTACTACCAAGTACAATACCAATACGATGAGATTCAAATTTGGCTGACGTCGAAAAGGGGCCAAAAGAGAGAGAAGCACGATAAGCGTGCGATATGTTAGTACTCGGATTGCTAGGCTACGAGGTATGTCTATCTCTTTCTAACACAGGTATTGCACGCTACTCGCGCTTATCTGGCGTACACATTACGACGTCAATGGTATATGGTTTCCAGTGTATAATCTGTATATGAAAATAAATAATGGAACGAAAATAAGAAAAAAGATGTATTATACTTAGAAAATCTTTCCAGACACTTCTTGTCACTCCCCTAGTAATTACGTTCACACACTACCAGAGTTTGAACAAAACTCTTCAGTAGACCTATTTTGGCTCGTTTACTTTCCGTTATCTCCAACGGCTAGACCTACACCGTGCTGATGATTACTAAAAAGGATGAAACGCCTTTGTATATGGTTGGCTATGGTCACATATTGTACTCGTCCAGCTTTTCTCATATTGAGACGAACTGCACTTAAACCATGAGATTATTGAGACACTAAAAAGGGCATTACGGAATCTGGACCTATCAAATTACAGTGTATTCACTGAACATACCTTTTCGGTCAGTGACGTCCCTTCATATCATAATATCCCTGCTGCAACGCGGAAATGCGAATCATGCTATTTCCGTAATAAAGCAAGATGCCGAACGGCATCGCAAAGCGATATATCTGGAATACTACGGCTGCCGTCCATATGGACGGATTCTTGCATTTAATTAACATTAATCAATTATATAGCGGGCACCCAATGGCATGCCGATCATTTCAATACATCGCCACCATTATTACAACGACGATGTATTATCAATGTCTCAGAAACAATGATACGATAAAAAGACCCACCGAATACGGTACGCAATTCCCACTTCTATTGAGCGAGGCCGTGGCATATGTTTGTTCCAAAAGTTATTGCAGTAGTAGACAACTTCTTCTCAATCAGGTGATTGTACACACGTTAAAGAATCTCAGTAACCGATTGTCTTGTGGCGGTACAAGTCCACCAAACGGCTACTTTAGATCCGTTTAACATAGTTTACAAGAAAAAAGAAGATGGTAGACAAGAACCAGCCGGCGAGAAGGTACCACCCGCTAGCTTTTAAATTTAAATTACAAATGCATTTTTTACCCACTTGATGTAAAATTCTAAAAAGCCAATTGGGTAACAACCCAGATTCTCAACTTTTAACGGTCACAATGCTCTCGAAGTGATTGACGCGAAAATGCAAAAATTATAACCGGCAATTAATCGAATCATATCCGAGTTGTAGGATGAATTTGTAGCAGCCTGAAACTTTCCGAATCATACCGTAAATAAAAGTACCAACTTTTAATTTGATGACGATTCCAATCGAGGTTCTCATAATTACCAGTTCCTGCAAATTCATTATACTGAAAAGGAGAAGTCGCAGTGGAAATTGAAAATAACGTGTTCAGAGAGTTTCTCTCAGTAACTTTCATATAAATTAGCTGTTTGAAACTTTTTAATTTTCTAATGGCCATCTTTTCACAACGAAATTCTTAATCAGCACTTATTGGAGCTTGGGGAATAGGAAAGCAGTTGGAACCCTCGCGTACCATCACTTAGTATGATTGGTATTAAAAGAACACAAAAACGCCTGAAACTTTATATATCTTTTTAACGATATTTGTTAAAATCATCTTCCTTTAAGGGTTCATGTTCCGTAGCTGCTAGATAGGCTAATACGGGTAACTTTATGACCTGATGTGCTCAGAAGAGAATCAAGGAGGGAATATAACGTTCAAGATCCTCGTGATAGTACGATATATCCTTCATGTAAAAGTATTTTAGAGGGTTTTTAAGGAAGAAACATTTATGGCTAATGTTATATTTAAGATTAAAGTAGATGACACAGAGAGGCTTAAGGAAATTATTTACTAAATGAGATATTATGTGACATGTGTATCATGAAAAACCATGTGTCTCATTTCCGTCAGTCTGCTGTCGGTTTGTCCGCTAATCTTTGGACCGTCTATAACTTGGAAAGTGCTGCTCGGACATGGATCAAATTTTCACACAAGACTACTGCTATGCCAAGAACGAAAAAGCTTTGTAGTTTTTGAAAATCGAAGTCGATAGAAGTCGAAAAATATTTTTTGTAGAGATTGAAAATCGGAGGTTGTGGTTGTAGGGGGTGGGGGAAGGTATATCTCATTTTGTTGGAGGCAGTATACTTATATGCTTCTAACCCCAGTAATTACAGAGTAGGTACATGTTTTGCAGAACACAGATTTCCCCGTGTCGTGCTACTGATCAGCCGGCGAGTTCGAATCTCGCCTTCGCCATGGATGTTGTGACGTCGTGTGTTTGTCCATAATTAGATATATTCTATATACCAACCTAATTTCTGGCTGCATGGCCTGGTCCTAAAGCCAAAAAAAAACAAAAAAAAAAGATTTCCCCGTACATTTGCCTTTATAACTTCGATAAATATTCACGACGAGCCACGCAGTCGGTCGGAACAATACGATGCAACGGCGACTTTCATACGCCGAACCGTGCCTTGCGTCTGACAGCATCGCCGGCAGGCATGTTATAGTATCGTGACTGTCGCTTATGACTTGTTTGACGTTGTCAAACGCAGTATGCACTAATTGTTTGTTAGCCTATTTGGCTGACTTGACCCATTTCATTTTTCTGTTAAACATGGTTGTAATGTTTGTAGCTAGGTCAAAGGAACTACGTTGGACCAAACATAATCCTTTGCGAAGAGTCAACTTGCTTGAGGCCATTTTTTTAACTATCAACCAGAGTGCATCCCACATCACCTGAGAAATTCTATTCTCAAAGCCGTGGCCCATACTTGCTCGTAGTAAGCGTATACAACAAGCAACCTAGCATGGTTGTAAATCCTGGGAGTTTTTATTTTATGAGGCTGACCCTATGCAACTGTGCACCGTCGTCATACTATACTTATTACATACTACTTATTTAAGAACTGGTTCTGACTTACATCAAAGATTTCCTATGCACTGGCGTGAAAAGGCGTCCAAGCTGTTCTTAAAATTAACCATCCCGAATCGCTGACTTGAAATGCTATGGTGTACTCTGTTGACGTTGATGAATATCATAAACCTCACCTATAGAGCTGACTATGAAATTTGGAGATTTACACTAAAATGGATGTTCAAGAAGGATGTACCAAAGCGAAAGTTTTACATTGGCAATACGGATCAATTAGGCAACAACCCTGGAGGTAAACGAAATTCGATGTTCATCGAAGCATTTTTGACAAATATGTGGAAATGCTAGCATTAAATATAAAAATGTTCATAGGAAGGTTCGTTGTGACTCAGACTAAGGAAAAATGTAACTCTGCAGAATGTTCGAGGAAATAGGTACATATTAACTAGTTTTATGAATCACCTGTAAGTTTTTACTGTGAAAGAAAGACTATTTGCATAAGAGTAAGGTTTATTTGTTTTATTTCATAAAATTCAATTATTCGAATAAAGTATCTCACTCGCCCATGTTGTACAACAGTATTTATGGAATTGTTGGCTGTATCAAACTTGCTTTTATGAGTTCTTACATGCCCCGCAAAATGATCTGACTGATAAATAAAGCAGCCACTATATACCTCATTCTTCTAGGGAATCTTGTTTAAATTTTCTTGACACAGTTTATCTTAAGTGGTTCTGACAAAAATATCAAACAGCTATCAAAATATATCACCAAATCTCCAATTTCCTATAATAAATGCGGCGTTGTTGGATTGAAAACATTCGTAGCTGGGAAGATGCAAAACGGTGCATAGGTATACTGTTCTGAATCCAAAGTGAACCGAGGTTAAACTTAGCCTCGAAACGTTACTTACATACATGCGGTACTATTCCTACATCAGGCATGGAGACAAAATTGCTTTACATCTTACGATCTTTTGCCAGAATATCGTCTTGTGTCCACTTTCTTCCCTCTTCTGTAAAACCTTTGCTATTTTGTTATTCCAGTAGCTCCTAGCTTCTCCTCTCCTGCGTCCTGTTTTCAAAATATGTCTACATTGTTCTCTTCACACTCATGAGAACGCTATGCTCAAACCAGTTTGTTCAATAGGTTCCCTGACAAGTGAGACCGAAATAAAGATAATATTATCTCTGAGCTTTCCTCTATGATGTCGCCGTGTTCTAGGCTTGTAAGATGGATCCACCATTTTCTGCTTTTGATGCTAACCTACCAAGTGCTAATCCCCTATACTCCTAGAGATCTAGAATGTGTAATAGTTTCTTCGAAAAACTTTCCTTAGTTCTGCTGTCCTTAGACAGTCTAAACTTCAGATTAACAGGATGTCTTCGACTTCTCTCGGGTTCTACATTCACGGTTTTTTTCTGTATAAAAATGATTGTAGTATCTACACTGGTGTAAATAATTACATATTTGGCTATACACGAGTTTTATATCAGACGAAGTTGAAATAAACATTGAGGTTTCTATTACCACCAATAAAGTCTCG